TTTCCCTACTCCTTGCATCAAACTCCCAATTGAAACATTACATACTCTGTGCCAAATCTCCTTACTGCATGTCTTCACATTTACAGTAGATCACTCTTCTCTTAAATGCCACAAGTTTTGCCAAATATACCAAATGTTCTTCTCAATTGAGATCCGTAAAATCTGGTTTTGCCAGTTATAGCATTTGAATGATTTTTTTTCTCCCTCTGGCTCATTAGTGTGATGTGACAAATGAAAAATACGACATTTAAAAAAACAAAAACAAACTTGCACAAGTATAATCACAATCAAAATAATCTTAAAGTACCAGAGCTCTACAAGGTAATCATGATCTCAAAAGCTTCTCTGGAAAGAGATAAGCAATGTGCCAAAATCTAAGGAAAGTAAAAAAGATGGGAATTACCTTTCATGGGTTCTAGAACTGAAAAGCCTACATGTAATCGAGAGTTCAATTATGCAGAAAATCTCCCAGATTCTAATTACCCTATTATATGATGTAACTCTTTAAAACTTATTGCAAGTAGAGTAATTTATGCGCATCAGAATTTGTATGGAATGGCACACTTAATTTTCGCTATCAACTTAGTCCAGAAGTGGCATTTGCCAATAGGTAGGGTGTGATACTAAAACATGACCTAAGCTACCTCCATAAAAAAGCAAAACTCAAGCATCAAAAATCACCTTTCCTGACATCTGCAGACAGATTATGGTTCTATCTCATCTGGAGTTACAAATGCTTCTAAGTGTAAACATGCAAAGGTGATTTTATTTATGCTGGACGGGTTTTGTAGATAGGAACCATTATAGGTGTAGAAGTTATGCTGTAACAAGGGAAGTTTTATGTAAAGTGCAAGTTTAACACAGCTGAGATACACAAGTCATCTGCCGGAGACACGTAAAAGTCAAGGGAACACACCAGCAGTACCATATATGTTACGTAAATTGAGAGAATCTTGGGTTTCAGTTGGACTGCACAAGACACAAAACCCACTAAAATCAATTACCTACATACTTTAGAGTCAAACCTCCACCTGAAAATTAAAGTAACAAACTGAGTTGTTGAAAGTTTCCTCAGCCTTATAGATACCTGAAGTGAAGGAAGGAGAGGAGAGGTTTTTTTCCAGCCAAGTAGGGTAAGTAGTGTTAAACACAGTATGGACAGTACACAGACCAATACCAACTCCTTTGAAGTCATTAGGTTGGTTACCCAAACTTATAACTGAAGTAGCCTGGATACACCTACAGCTCAGTCAAAGTAACACTGACATAACATCACTGAGCTCAGACAGACTACCCCAAGCAAGTATTTACACAATCTCGGTTGGGTCCTTCCTGACAAAGCTATATCGCTCATTATATGTAACCTCTGGGTAACTTCAGCAATAGAATAAAATCTCTTCCTTCCCTTTATTCTCTCCAAATTACAATTTTTCTTCAAGCTGTACTTTTTAAGTGTCTTCTTTGCTGTCCTTTGTTTTCACTCTTAACTGTCCACACAAACTCTAAAATCCAAAACGGATGCAGCACTTGAGTTTTCCCCAGGAGCAAAAATGGCAACTTCATCACCTCCATGACACACTGCTGTCAATGCAACCAGGAATTATAATTTCCTTCCCACCACAATCATCCCCTTCTTGATTTATATTACATAAAATGTACCAATGACTCATAGTCTTTTGCATCTATATTTAATGCATTTCATTTTCCTGATTTCAGACCATTTTTCAAGATCCTTTGCTTTCTAGTAACTGCTATCCAAAGGGTGTGGAACTCCCTAAAGGGTAGTATCATTAAAAACAAATGTGTAATCATTTGGATGGTAAAGATTAATTAAAACGTTCTACAACTGGTCCCCAGACAGTCATTCCAGTTTAATTTATTTTATATTTACGATTTGAAATGCCTTTTGCTGTGCCTCCTTTTATAGTATTTATCATTATACTTCTTTAGTTCACATACAATGTAACAGTTATCATTTTATTGCTCAAAAAGTGCTTTGCCAATTCCCATGCTTCGTGGAAATATTCAGCTCTCTCAACTTGAATATAATCAATACAGTTGAATATTTTTAGTTATTGTCTACCCATTCAAGAGGTTTCTTAACATATTACTGCTAATACAGAACCACACTTGAACATTTTTTGTAACCTTTGTAACCTTCAAAATTCAGAAATCATGCTTGTTTAATCACCCCTCCTGGTAGTAAGAAGCCTGTGCTACATTTATTATTTAATTTCTAGTGTATTTTTTGAACCTTCTCTTCTTTAACATCCCGGCAAAACCATTTTCCAAAAACTAAAATCTCAAATAAAACATTTTGTGATTAAAAAAGATGAGTTAAGTAATTTTCTTTATCTCAGTATACGTGGCTTTTCAAGGACTTTTTTCCCTTTAAGATTACTTACAGCCACACACTGTGTACTTGCTCCACCTGCTTCTGGAAGAGTTCACGTCACATTCAAGTTCACCCAAATTTGAAATTCCTGTTTCATCAGAAATGAGGGCAAAAAATTGAATGTACACTAATTACTGGGTACTTAACAGTATTTTCCTACCTTTTTTAAGCCAGCAAATCCTTCAGACTCCAGGAAGAAAAATGCAAAGGGCATCAACACAAACAAACATAAATTCGAAAAAAGAGAAGCAAGATTCCATAAACCTGCAACAAACAAGAAAGAGGTTACATTATAAGCTCCTCAGCTTCAAAACATAAAGATGCTACATTTTCTTCCCTTACATATAACAATGCAACATACGTACAAGTGCTAACTGAAGCCAGGTTTTTATTAATACAGTTATTTACAGATCATTGCTGAAAAATACCCATTTCTCAGAACCATCTGCAAATAAAAAAAGGATACCAACTTAACAGCAGCAACTGTCTGGAATCCTGGAAGACAGACTGTGAGCTCATGTGGACTACTTCCACAGTATTCCACTCAATGATTGTTAGATAACTGCTTAAAAAAATTTCAGGACAGGAGTATTTTAGTACCATCAGTGAATCTCATAAAATTCAGTTTTGTGTACTCAGTTCCTCCCTGATTTTTTCCTCAAGAGAAGCTTAGACAAGTCATAAATCAGCAACACACAAATGCCATCATCACCTTCCAATTAAAAGATATCACAGTAGTGTCAACAGCAGACTTCCACCTGCACGGACTAACTAATGAATTATGGGCCAGGTAAGTGGCCTCTGAAGTAAACTGAAAATTGGCTAAGCTTGTGACCAGGAGTACAAAGTCAAGCTGGAAGTCAAGTCACTAGTGGTGTGCCCCATGGGTTCCACACTGGGTTTTACATCTTCCTTCATGTCCCAGATGATGGCAGAGAGTGCATCCTCAGCAAGTCTGCCAATGACACATAATGGGGAGGAGCAGTGACCCACCATTCAGATGAACCTCAACAGCTGGACAAATGGGCAGAACACACTCTGGGGACCAACTGTCCCACAAGAAGCTTTACAGAAAAGGCCTCAGAGGTTCTGTCAAACACCAAGTTGAACATTAGCCACCAATGTGGCCTAGCAACAAATGTGACCAACAGCATCCTGTGCTGTATGAGAAGTGTTGCCAGCAGGCCAAAGGAGGTGATCCTTCCTCTCTGCTCAGTACTGGTGGCACATCTGGAGCACTACATCCAGCTGTGGGCCCCTCCATGCAACATAGACATGGCCATACTGCAGCAAGTCCAGCCAAGTAACACAAAGTTGGTTAAAGGACTGAAGCATTCATCCCACAAGCAACGGCTATAAAAGCTGGAATTGTTTAGTCTGAGGAAGAGAGGACTATCAATGTATATAAACATCTGATGAGAGAGGGGGAAAGGAAAACAGAGTCGTACTCTTCAGTGGCCTGCAGTGAATGGAGAAGAGGCAATGAGCACAAACTGTAAATAAACTAAAAAAACAACATAAATGTAAGAAAAAAATATAACACCTTTTGTCATTGTGGGTACAGTCAAACATGGAACAGGCTGTCCAGAAAGGTTTTGTAATCTCCCTCCTTCAACATATTCTAAACCTGACTGGGCACTGTCTTGAGCAGCCTTCTCTAACTGACCCTGCTTTGAGCAAAGGGGTCAGACTAGATGATTTCCAGAGGTCACTTCCAACCTCCATCATTCTGTGATCTAGGTGAAAAATCAACAATTGACTAAAAGCAGGACATCTGTAACACATATGTGACATCTGCAGAAAGTGAAAAGCTTTAGAAAACCTGAAGTGATAACTAGCATCCACTAAGGGTATCTGCTCTATTAAGATTTTCCAAGCTCAACACTTTCGGAATCAGTTTCTGAACCTATCATCATCCTATCACATGCTGTGCAGAGTGCAGTGTTTTTTCTTTATAAAAGCAGCAGTTTACCTGCAATTTAGTACTACTGTAGCTAACACATTTAAGTGCCAAATGTTCTGCATTCTGAAAACACAGCTTTTACTTTGAAAAAAACAGGCTTAGTCCTCCACCCTCCCCAAACCACATATTTCCACAGTTCTGCAGGACTATATAATATTGCCTGAAATAAAAAAAATAAAATCCCCCATTATAAGAAAATTTGAACTAACAGCTTTGTTTATTTCTTTCTTCTCATGTACAGGCTTGTTTGTTTTCTTCTGTGACATTTCCATTTTGGAAAGAACAGGGAAGGAAAAAGACATTTACTGCATGTCTGGGGAATTCATTATTGACATATACTCCTGTATTTAGCTACAGATGTAAAATAGCAGTTATCTTCACCTACACCCCCTTAAAAATTGCCTTTGCCATATATACTACTACTTTTTTTTTAAATGAAATTTAATTCAAAGAGAAATAAAAATGGGGTGAGAAGAGGGGACTGAAGAAATCTCTAATTTCAGCACTTAATAGCACCAGGACACCAAGAACCAAACTTAACCAAATAAGCTGTAGAAAACCAAACAAGAAAATTCCAAGAGATGCGTGAAATATAATACTCAATTGCTAAAGAAAACAGACTGCCTAAAGGTGGCTAAACTCCAGTGAACAAAGAGGGAGATTTTTCCCTTTGAATTTGCTTAGCCAGGAAGCTCCTGTTACCATTCAAGGAACATTCACACATAGCAACATCAGCAAGAATGTCACTAACAGCCCTTACTAGAGGTACATTAACTCAAGCAGTCTGTGTACTTTTTTTTCCTTTTTTTTTTTTTTCAGAAAATGAAGACCCCAGAGTAGAAGTACTACTACATCAGAGTGGGAGTCTTATTTCAGTGGTTTTCTCTAACTGAAGACACATAGTACACTCAGTTACCTGATAGAAAGCTGAATACCTGGCTGCCCTAACTTCAGCAGCTCTATTACATGTGTATCTACAATGTAATTTGGTGCTTACAAGCTGCACAGTATGCATAGAGCATTCTAAGGGGGGGAAAGTGGTGAAAACCTGGGGTGATTTTTAAAAAGTCAAAGTAAAAAAATTTAAACAGTAGCAGCTGATAGAAACAGAAAATCAAACTACACAGCTACAACATGCATGTAAAGTTATGGCAGATAAGGACAGTGCTGCTGACATCCATATACATTTTCCTCAGAGTAAGGACTTTTTTGTTTCCCTAACATATTTCTTATGTTAATTTGGTAGTTCAGAAAACAAATTGCAATACTCAGAAAAAGAACTGTTTCCTGCTACATGACTGCATCATAAAATTGCATGAGAGAGATTTGCAGGTACCAACATATATAAAAGCTTTAGGCAGTCTACTGAAGTATTTAAGGGGATTTTTTTGCATTTATAGTAACCTAAGAAATAAAAGAAGCCAATAAAACATAAAAATTTTAAAATTCTCAGTCTTTGGCAAACAGATTAGACCCTCGGCAATTTTTCTTCTCCATGGCAGTTTTATTACGTTTTACCTCCACCTGGTGGCTGTATCCAGCAACAGCACAAGCGGACATCTAGCTGTCAGATGCATTTCTGGGTTTGGCTCAAAATGGACTAGGTGAGAGTGTTTATAGTGGATACAGATACAGTCTTTCTGCCTAGGCTCAAAAATTTGTTCTTCTATATGCTGCAGCTTGTGCAACAGTCTGCGGCATAAAAACCCCTGTTGCCACATTCAAGTACTTCAGAATATCCGTGATGGACAGACTTGGCAAAACTTAAGTGTTTTAAAGCAATACAAACTTTCCTGTTGGATAACATTTGCAAAGCAGTAAGCAAATCATTCATGAAGGCAAGGCTACACAGTGTCATGGAGACAAGAACATTTCCTGACCTTGAGTGCCTGTGATAGCACTATCAGCTCTCAAAACTTGCACAGGTATGTCACAACTAACTTCCAAAAGGCACTGCATGACATGGAGCAGAGGTTTTAGCGAGCAGAGCAATGCTGCCCTGCAAACCCAGTGACGACCACAAGAGGGAGCCCATCCCCACGGTATCGTCTGGAAATTAAGAACACTGATTTTTGACAAATTCCAGTAAGGGAAGACTGCAGTGAGGCCCAAAATCTATCGATGTTTCTCAAGTGTTCACACCAGCTGTGGTAAATCTTGGTTCAATTCGGTCATGTTTACCCCCAGACTAAGTTTTTCAACACACAGCCAAAGTTGGAAACAGGAAGATGCTGAATTTTCTTCCTTACTAGCCATTACTATTGGACTTGTGAAATAGAAAACATATTGTGCATACACGAAGTGGTACCTTCCAAAGATTATCATATTAAAATAAAAGATGGTCACTGAGAAATTTAATGGCCTTACTATGTGAGAGCTGCTTCTTCCAGCAGATCTCTATTTAACCTAAGTTTTTAAGTACTATAACAACTCTGACACAAAGTTTCTGAATTGGTTATTCTATGATTTTCACTTTCTGAAATATTTTACTGTAGTTTTTCCAAAGTCAATTCAGGCACAAAAGGTCAGATTATTTTCCAGTTAGTATTTTATTTTAAAGAGAGGGAATAAAGAATATAAAACTCTCTCAGCAGCTAAATCCATGAGAAAAACGAGAATCAGCTGCATTTTTTTCCTTCCAAGTCAGAGACGTACCAAACTAGCAATCCCCCGTGACGTGTGACAAAACAGATCACAGAGTAACTCAACTAGAAATACTCTCCAAAATCACAGTCTGATCTGCTGCTTAAAACAGCTGAACTGCAGGTGCAATCAGGTTGCTCGGGCTTTCACCAGCAGAGTTTTGGAAAACTTCCATGGATTTAGATCTCAGTCTCTCTGGACAACCCTTCCCAGTGTTCAACCATCTCCACTGTGAAGAACTATTGCTTTACATTCTAACATTGCTTGTAGCCTCTCACTGCATGTCCAAGAGAAGAAGTTGGCTCTGTACAAACTTCTCACCAGCTGCAAATCCAGATGTGCCCTCACTTTATTAATTTCATACCAGGATATTAACCCAAGTAGTATTTCCACCATATTTCCTTTTAGGTTTTGAGGAGTTGCCCATTAAGCCAAGTCAACCATCTATATCATCTCCTCATTTTCTTGCAACACTCAAGTGCACGTTATGGTGCTTGACGATTACAGCTGAAACTAAGTGTTTCTCCCTGCTACCTTTGCCTTTGAGGCATTCTCCAGTAAGGTCCCACATACCTATTTCCTGAAGAGGACACACTCTCTTAAAATCTTATGTCTTTACTCTACTATTTTCCTTCCTCTCTTTTCCCAGGTCTTAAACTACTCTGTCACCACAGTGAAAATCATAACTGAGCACCACACCTACCATCAGCTCCCCTTTATTCAAGGGTTTAAAAAACAATTCTTTTACTGTCCAGATAACACAAAAAATACTCAACTAGCTTCAGAAAGGTTACAGGCAATATGCATTGTTTCCTGTCTTCACCTATGCACATTTACTTTGTTGTAAAAAAATTCTGATCTGGAATTGATGAATTTGCTAGAAGTACTATTAGACATTCAACCAAAAAAACATACATTTTTTCAGAAAAAAACTCTTCAAAGCCCAATTACCCTCTCTTCACAAGAACAGAAAAAGGACATCACAGTTACCTTGTAAATTATTTGTTCCAGATTAAACAAACTGCTTCACATAGTGAAAGTACTATCTTCTTTCTCCAGCCAAATCCACTAGAGAATGTCCTGTCTCCATGAGTTACTTCCCTTAGACACATAAGTGTCCAAATTATTTTCAAGTATTAGTACCCATTATGCATGTCATAATCATAAGCAGGTCACCCAAGACTGGACAGCATTCCAAAACTCACTGTGCCAGTCATCAAGGCATCATTGCTGCAAGTACAAGTAATATTTTTTCTTGTTTTCCTTGAAATAGTTCATTTTTATTGATGCCTCTTTATCACATTTGATACATTTATATTCTGTAATTTTTCCTTGTGTACAAATAAATCACTAATTGTTGAATTTAACTATCTAAATCAACTGCTCATAGCTAGCAAGTTCCTTAAAATTATTTTTTTTAAATGTTGAGAATAAATGTATATGTATCATCATAAACAGGCTTAAGAATCTTACACTAACACAAGGAAGAAGTTTGAACAGTGTATTTTTAAGTTAGTTTCTAGTAGCTCTTATTCTACATGAATAGACAAAGCAATGAATTTGGTTTAATTCCATCAAGCCTGCATAATTATTTAAAAAGCCTAATAAAATAGTTAAGACAGACTTATCTGATATATCACAGAGCAGCAAAACCAACTAGCCAATAACATATTAACAATTCAGTTAGCATTTTAAATTAGAATGGAGTTATTAGTTTTTAAATAAGAACATAACTGTGCACATATAACAAAGACATCCATTTTAATGACATTATGCTGAGTACTAACCATGAATTAGTGAGCCATTTAACCACTGAATATAGTAGTTTTGTGGAAAAGAAAGCAGGATCTCATTGCTGATTATTGAGAAAGGTAGAAGCAGGACTGCACCAGCTGAAACTGCTAGAGTGAAGGTGCTCAAGAACAGCCTGAAATTTAAAGAAATGTATGACTGTTACCACCAACATGCTCTGAACGAGGGGGGAAAAAAAGTAGTTATACTACCTATTAATCAGTGTCTGAAGACAGCACATTCTTAAGTCGTAAAGGGGCAGGATAAACTAATTTCCACAATATTTCACTTCCAAAAAGCAAATTTTGAGTACCAAGTGGTTTACAGAAATCAGTAAAAAGAACTAGTTTTTACCAACTACCACAATTACTCTCCTGGGACCTGCATGCACTTAGTTCCAATGCCACAGACAGGCTAAATCATTGGAGTTCATGGAATATCTATTTTCCACATACACATTCAGAACTAAAAAAAAAAAAAAAAACCACATTATATATCCTTACTACAATTTTTAAAACCAGTGCAGCTTTTTAATGTCTAAAAAGTGAGTATAATTAAAATATTTTCACACCAAACTGAGAAAAAAAAACAAACAGCTTTCATTTTATAAAGTAGTTATTCGAGTATATAATCTCATAGCTTAGGGTTTTCTGATAGCTCTAAAGTCAATACAGCAAAACTGTCAGAATTGTATCAAATGTTCAATTAGCTTTTTCTTTTCGGATCCCAACTACAACTTATATCAAACGCCATCTAGTGGCATTAAAAGAGAAATGTTTTCTTAAAAAAAAAAGACCGACAAACACTCGGAACTAACACAAAGCTAGAATAAAATGAGAAATAATTATCAAAATTGCATGACAAAAAAAAATAAGCAGATCATTCTTACAACAGGAATGTCAGTAAGCTGCTCACAGTGATCTTACTTTTTCTTAACAGTCTAAAAATCTATTCCTCACTCACACAATACTTAACTTACAGAAGAAAATCTGGGTGACTAAAATAAAAAAAATATATATTCTCATGTTATTCTTGGTTTCTGAGGTATTTTCTTCTTTTATTTAAGGATGTTTAAGTATTCTAAGCAGAACTGTGAAACCTAATACTACAGCTTCTCAAGGTGCTACAGCAGCTTGGTTTTTTCTTCTTCCACCCACTTCTGACAGTTATGCTATGCAAAGTAATATCAAACTGCATATGTTTGACAGTTACTGCTTTTTGGAAAACAAAATGCACACCTAAGGAACAAGAAATATCAGGCTGAAAGAACAAGAAGCATTTTATATTTATAACAACACTTTTAATGAAAGGCTTTTACTCCAATGGAAGTGCTAATCTTGTCTTACACTGTTTTAGCATGAAGAACACACTATTTACAATTCATATTTGTTGCATTTTAGAGCTATTCTAGAATACAGATGTAGGGGAATACCAGTTAGTAATAAATTTTACTTTTTGAATGTTGAAAAAATTGAGAACCAGGCTGATATCCCAGCAGCTATGAAAACCATAGAAGAATCTTTACTGTTAGAAAAGCCTTTGCTGTAGTCTTAAAAGCAGAGGAGAAATGCTTCTATACTTGAGAACAGAGAGCTTCCTAGCATTTGGAAGCTTGCATTTTTGTCTCTCTAGATCTGAAGTAGATGTTGTGACAAATAAGTATTTCAAACTCATAAAAAATACTAGTGTCAGAAACTACTGGGACAAACATGCCTAAGATTTACATCACCTCTGTATATCTTTCAAGCTTGTCACAAATGCACAACTAAAAGTGAACCGCTTGCAATGTACTCGGCACTTTCCCAGGGTACAAGACAAATCAATAAAATACTCAATGAGTTCTTCTTCCAAGAGAATGACAGTACCACCATGGAAGAGCTAAAAACATTGTAATAAGCAAGTAGCAAGTCCACATAGTTTAGCAAATCACGTAACTGAGAGGGCAGCAACAGCTCAGAGATGTTCTCTAAATCTTTAGATGTATTTAATTAGGAAAGATTAATATCTATCTCTACAAAGAAACAGGAAGAGGAAAGAGTTGCTGGCAGACCAGGAGGTCTGGCAAGTGTTTGTCTTCCATTTGTTCTTGTTTTTTAAGATGATCAAATACAGATGTATACTTCAGGGTAAGCTAACTTTCTTTCCAAGATCCATTGCCTTCATCCACTGCAGTGGGAACTTAAACTACCTACCTCCAGTATAAACACCTACATTTTAGAGACCTAAACTTAGGTGCACTGAATTCCACCTCTGACATCAGGTCCTCCTGCAATAAATACTCTGGCCAACTTCATGCCTATCAGGAAAACCATAGGTGAAAAAAAGCCCTATAACAAACTGCCCTGCCTTTCATAATACAAGGTGCGACTTAAAAACTTTTTTCTCTGCCCTCTAGTAATTTATTTGCTGTTCCATTTAAAATGGAGCATTATTTATTTAGAAGCATGTAAGATTCCTATCATATATTTTGGAAAAAGTTCTGAAAAAAAGATCTATACATACGATATTCTGTTAACAATGGCATCTTCATCCTCTTGCTCATCTGAA